CATCCCAGCACTATTTTTTGCAACCTGGTACAGGAAGTGGTCTCAAATTATTTGCCTGCCCAGTGGCCTCTGGGCAGGCAAATAATTTAGTTTTCCTTCATAGGGGTATTTGTGAAATATTTATTTAGAAGCAAGACTATCCACAATCTGGGTCTGTCAGAGAGTGATCTGGCTGTGATGTCTGTAACCAGTGCCTGACATCTTCATCCTCTCTAAATGCACTCAGAATGAGGAGGCTAGCTAGCATCCTCAGGTAGAAGATGCCCCTGTGTTCTACCAGACATACAGAACACAATCTGTGCCAGTATGTGTGTGTATGTGTGTGTGTGTGTGCATGCATAGAACATATCATCTTTAAGAAAATTTGCAAGTTCCTTTGTGTGAAGTATTATAGCAATGATTTGCAGCCCTGGTGTCACTGTGGTTGGACACTTGGTTTCTCTGAGCCCCTTTCAATTGCCTTTCCAATGCAGGAGTTGGATAAAGTCAATTTCAAAGATTTTGCCTGGTATATTATTCCATCTCATTGGCATATAGAGCTGCATGATAACTCAGGATAGAAAAAAAGGAGAATACACATGAATCACAAGAGAAATTCAAAAGAACTAACCTGTACATCCTTTAGGTTAATTAAAATGGAATTCTGACTTAAAATTTCCATCTGATTTAAAGCCAATACTTTAAGGACATTTATAATATGTTGGTGAGTCCAAACCAGTTGTTAATATATAACAAACTATGAGATCTGTGGAAAAAATGGAAGCCAAAGAAATCATTGCTATGTTATTGAAATCATTGCACAACTTTTTAGAATATGTGAATCTTGATGTCAATGCTGCAAATACATCCTTAGATTTTTTTTTGTACATAGTTCCAAGAAATTTGTTATTTGATACCACTAGTATATAATGAAAAATTTCCTTCAGAAAATATTGTTTATAATTATGAATGCCAAGTGATGGCATGGAAGTTTATTTGTTGGTTGAATTATGTTAAATGGGAAGTTAGCAACAAAACAAAGGGGAACAGAATGACCATTATGATAATGAAACAACGGAGATGCCCACAGTTATGCTGTCAAGACAACCATCTGGAAATCAGCCAATGAAGACAGCACAAGTTTTAATAAGATGAAAATAGTTCAATAGGGAAAACTGAGTGACAAACATTCATAGTTTGATTTTGCAAATGCTCTAGGCTATGTGAACTACAAGGTTGAAACCAGAATTTCAGGTCTGGAAAGGAATATCAGATACCTAGATAAGTTGAGCTCTTACCAGAACAGCCTATTTGTGCAAAGCTACTAGTTGTTTTCACCAGATTGAACCTAGGATCTAAAATTTATGAGACTTTTATGACCAATAAAGGGTTGTGATTGTAAGAAAGTTATTTCTCTTGTTCAGAAAATGTTCTTATTGGTTTACTTTCTCCTTTCCTTTCTCAACCTCTCCCCTCTTGTGCAAGACCTCTTGTCTGAAATTATATTAGACTGATGAACCTCTTTCAAAGTAGCTCTTTTTCAGGGGAATGTGGAGAGCCCTAATTTTGTGTTATTTTAAACTTACTACCCTTGAAATTAGGAGTCCTAGTAAAAGAGTTTCTAAAACTTAAGCAAAATGTTGGATTTTGATAGAAGTGGTGCTAAAAATAAGACAAGTTCCATGAATCTGTTTATATATTATTTTAAAATTTCTACTGGAGAGATTGGGGGTATAGCTCAGTGGTTTCCATAGTGAATCTGAAACCCCCAAAAGTTCCTGTGTTGAAGTTGTGGTCTCCAATGCAGCAGTTCGTAGAGGTGGGGCTTTTGGAAGGTGACTGGATTATGAGGGCTCTAACTGCACCAATGGATTAATCAATTGATGGATCCATAATTTAATAGGCTATTGGAAAATGGTGGAAATTTAGGTAGTGGATCCTAGTTGGAGGAAATTGGTATTTGTGGACATGCCCTTGAAGGCTACATTATTTCCTTAGCCCCTTCCTCCCTCCCTCTTTGTGTCTCTGTCTCTCTCTCTCCTTCTGGTTGTCACGAGGTGAGCAATTGTGCTCTACCACATGCTCTCTGCCATGATGTTCTGTCTCATTATAGGTCCAAAACAATGGAGTGAAGTGGCCATGTACTGAAACCTCTAAAACATGGGCCAAAGTAAATCTTTTCTCTTTTAAACTGATCTTCTCACATATTTTGTCAGAGCAATGAAAAACTAACACAGTGGTAGACTATTTGGTTAACACACATAAGCCCTGAGTTTAGTTCTCAGAACACACACAAAGACACAAATCCACTTAAGACTTAGCCCAGACTAAATCTAAGTACTTAACAATGGCCTATGTATGCATATTTCTTATTCAATTTTATATTATGTCCTGAGTAAGATGAGTTTAGAATACTGGTATTCATTTCTATTCTTTTCTGTAGGCCTCCTTGCCCTCAACTTAGAATTCAGACATTAAACATATCTACTTTTCTATATCTTTCCCTGACTTTATCAGAATATAACTTATTCTGGTGAGTGAGAGGGCAAAGCCAAAAAGAATCATGGAGCCCAATTATAAATAACAATTTCTTAGATCACACAGTTATAAAATTAAACACTAAATCTCCAACAATGTTAATTTCTTGCCAGGTGTTATTTTTATTCCACTTGGAACTCACTGAGCTTCTTGGATATGTAGTGACATTTTTAAAAAATCCAATTTGGGCAGTTTAAAAATTATTATTTCCTCTAATCTTCCTTTAGAGTATTCTCTGCTCTCCTGCTGGGACTCTCATTTTCACAAGTTGGTGTGCTATAGGACAATCACAGCTCTTCAAGACTTTCTTCATTTTTCTCTTTCCTTTCAGATCCTCAGACTGCTTCTCAATTGACCCATCTTCAAGTTCACTGGTTATTTTTTTCTCCTGCTCAAATCTCTGTTGAGCCTCTGTAATCAACTATTCTTTACAATTCAATTCCAGAATTTATTTATTTATTATTTTTTTAAAAATATTTATTTTTTTGGTTGTAGTTGGACACAATACCTTTATTTATTTATTTTTATGTGGTGCTGAGGATTGAACCAAACGCCTTGCCCGTGCTAGGTGAGGGCTCTACAACTGAGCCATAACCCCAGCCAAAGTTTTGTGACTATATTTAAAAAGCTAATCTAAAATCTTTGTCTAGTTAGTCCAACATCTGGCTTTCTCGGGGACAGTTCACTGCTGTCATGGTTTGGATATGAGGTGTCCCCCAAAAGCTCCTGTGTTAATGCAGGGATACTCAGAGGTTACATGATCAGATTACAAGAGCTACAGCCTAATGAGCTCATCCTATTTGAATAGTGATAATTGTAGGCAGGTGGGGCATGGCTAGAGGAAGCGGGTCATTGAAGGTGGGCCCTGGAAAAGTTCATCTTCCCTTCCTCTCTCTGTTTCCTGGCCACCATAAATGGAGAGGCACTCCTCTACCATGACACCATGACTTTCCATCATTGATGTTCGGCCTTACCACAGCAATGAAATTGCCTGATCATGGATTGCACCTTTGAAACCATGATCCCAAAATAAGCTTTTCCTCCTCTATGTTTTATTGTCAGGTATTTTGTTTACAGCAATGAAAAACTGACTAAAATAACTGCTTTCTCCTCCTGTGTATGGGGCATACTTTCTTATTTCTTGGCATGTTTCATAATTTTTTTTTTGTTGTTGAAATTTTGTGATTACTTTAAGTGTAAAATAGTATAAAGGGGCAAATCTAGAATTATGCTCTTGTTCCTTCTCAGGGGTTTGTCATGGATGTCTGTATAGTGACTTTTCTGAACTAATTTTGTAAAATATGTCTTCCTTGCCATATGTGGTCATTGAAGTCTTAGCTCTCAGTGGTGAGGTAAAGATTAGACAGAGATTTTCTTAATGGATGAACCACTGCACCTCCTGCTTTGTGCTAAGGGGCTGTGTGTGTCGGGGTAAACCTTCACCACTCAGCCATGCAATTGATAACTCTTCCTTGCCCTGCATTTTGTGCTTACATGAATCTTCAAAGTCAGCCAGATGAAGTGCTTAGCGCCTTATCAGGTCTTTCTTGAACATATGTACTACTCTGGACATGCATAGAACCTTTGAGATTTGTAGGAATATGTCATAGCTTATCAAATACTCCATGGGCAGGTTATTTTTTCCTTTTAAAAGATTTTTGGTTAGCTTTTTGTGTGTCTCAGCTATTATCTACCACTTCAGGCAGATGCACTCTTACACAAATGCTGTCAGGAAAAGACTTAAAAAATTTTTATTTTAATTTAAATTTTTTTTGTGTGTTTGTGTGTGTGTGTGTGTGTGTTGGCATGGATTGAACCCATGGTTTTGGGCTTCCTAGGTTAGTGCTCTCCCACAGAGCCACATGTTCATTCCAACCATGAAGGAGGTCAAATAAAGAAAGGCTTATGATTGGGGTCTTCCAGGAAACCATTGGTTATGTCAAATAATGACAGTTCTCTGAGAATGGGCCTTTGAAGGAGGTCTAATCCTTTTCTGCTTTCTCTGGTGGCTGCCAGGCTATTGGTTTTCACTGTGTCTGTGGGCTATTATTTGTCAAGGCTACTGTGGAACTGGAGAGGTGGACATGGTAATAGATTAGGTTAAACTACCATTAAGTTTGCTTTTCTTACCAAGATTCAGCCAGTTCTTGAATAAACACGACCTGGATATCGTGAGTCTTTGATTAATTTCCAGCATTCTGAAAAAGGTGATATCTAACAATTTTTTTTTTCTTGCCAATTTCCTTCTTGTTTTGATGAAGGAGAGTTGGAGATCCTTACTCTGTCATTTTTGCCGATGTCACTCTGTCAGTGTTATTACATTTCTTTTCTGTTTGTGTAGTCTCTGTCATTGTTATTGGTGTTAAGCAACCAAGAAGAGTAACAGTAAAGTAAACCACAGTTCACTAAATAATTAACAACGAAGAAAAGGAAAATTTAGAAAACAGGTGACTCTGTTAAGGTTATAATTTGGAACAAAATACCTTTTAAGATGTAGATCTGAGTATTCAGGCACAAGCTTGTCGACATTTAATAAAAGACATCTTAATACCTGGTACCAAAAAAAATTTAAAAATTTTTAAAAATTTAAAGAAGACATCCTTTTTTTGTAGGTAATGATTTTGTGTTTTCTGTCTTATATTTCTTCAATTTAAAATATATAATTTAAAACAAACTAAAGACATTCTGTCTATTTATCTCTGATAGTAAGAAATTTTATCAGTGATACTTCATTTAAATATGTACCATTCAATAGTTAATGAGTTATAAGAAAGCTAGGAATTTACAAAAATAAATAAATAAAGCAAACTGTTGACCTTGACTTAAAATTTAGAATCAAAGAATTATTCATTTTTGGTCAGAGATTCAGAGTCTTTGCTCATTATATGCAAAGAATATAAGAATATACCTTATAACTCTTTTATTTTCAAGTGGTATGGGATAATAAGATTGTTTTGCATCCATAATTTGTAGTGAGAAGATTATAATAAAAATATGCTAATGATTTTTTAATTCATTTGCCAAGAAAACAACATTGATGCTAACAAAATATTGAATTTTAGTAATACTTTTAAAAAGTCATTTTTTTGGTGTGTGTCCGTGTGCATGTATGTGTGCATGTGTGTGTGAATGCTACAACAATCATGTAGGATTTGTATACAGAAGGAATTCAGATATTTTCTTGAAATGCAGAAAAATTAAGCAACTTGTCTCAAATCAAATAACAGTGTGCTATAATTAAGGGAGAGGATTAGGAATTAACATTCACTAGTGCTCACTAAGCACTAATGAAAACTTATCAGCAAGTGCTTTTTATATAATCTCCTTCACTTTTCAATATTTTTTTGAACTAGCAATCAATATCCCCAATTTTTGGAAAGCAGCTAAAGGTGAGAATGGGTAATTAACTTGTCCCAGATCAAAACCTGGTAGGAAACCGTCCTAAAGTTGTGAAAGCTTAATAGGGACTGAGATCAGCCTTATTTAAAAACACAAATTCACATCACTCAAGATTCAATATTCACAATGGAGTCAAGTATGACTGATAGAGGGATACAAAACCTAATCCCCTTGCCTTAGGTGGGACAGCTCTGTGTGGGATCTATGTGACAGTACTCTCTGCCCGTGTCAGGACTCAGGCTAAATTTAGATTTTTTATTTTCCTGAAACCATAGCCTTGCTCTCCTCTTTCTTTCCATATCCTACCTCTCTCCCATTCCTTCCAGGATTTTCTTCAATGGTACTATTTCAAAAAAATTATACTCACATTTTTCTCTGGCTCTGCTCCCAGGAAATCCAATCAAAGGCAGCTGGCAACAAGGAGTGTCCTAGAAACAGAGGGTCACAATGGGACGCTGTGCTCCCTGGCATGCTGCAGCAGTGTCACTGTGGAGACTCACATGGGATGAATTGGAATGGAATAGGAGTGGCAGAGGATGCACAGCTCTGGCACAACATCTCTGGCATATGAAAGTTACTGGGGGGGGGGAACAGAACAGACAAACACAGTGGAATGGTGTAATTATTGCTCTGCCCTAGTGATGCATAGAAGAAAGAAATAGGTAGGCTCAGGTTGGCTAATCACAATTTGAAGCATAAGAATCAGAGGGCTTCGTAAGCAGTACTTATGGAGATTCTTCCTTATAACTGTGTCTTTGTCTGTTCAGGAAGCTCTTACCAAATCAGGCCTGTTTTGTCCACTGAACAACATACCAATCAACAAAACAAGGAGTTTTTGCAAAAAACTAAGAATCATTATTGTGGTTTGGATATGAGGTTCTCTTGAAAAACTCATGTGTCGATTCAGGGAATGTTCAGAGTGGTATGACTAGATTGTGAGAGTTAATCTATTTGATGGATTAATAACTTAATCCATTAATTAATAACTTGAATGCATTTCTAAGTGGTAACTGTAAGCAAGTGGGACATGGCTGGCTAAAGTACATCACTAAGGGCGTGCCTTTGGGGATTATATTTTCTTCCCAGTTACTTCTCCCCTGTCTCCCCCCACCCCACCCCTGGCTGCCATGAGCTGAGCATTGGTCCTCCATCACACCCGTTCACCAAGATGTTCTGCCTCATCTCAGGTACAGAGCAATGCAATCTGGTTGACAGTGAACTGAACCTCTGAAACTGTGAGCTCAAAATAAGCTTTTCTTCCAAGTTTTTCTTGTCAAGTATTTTTAGTCACAGTGACGAAAAGCTGACTAACACAATCACTAATTACGGAGGTCACACAGCTGAGCTGTATATTATTAGTCTCCCACTAGCTTTCCTGTAGATGACACCTCTGACACATGGGTTATGATGCTAACAGTTGCTTTCCAGGGGCTTGAAGGCTGTTTTTGTCTAAGTTATCAACTCTTCACTTGGGTCAGAGTAAGTGTCTGATGGGCCACCCTCAGATCATACTAATGTGGCTATTTTCTGAACATGCATCCCAGGAAGAACCATGAAGGTTGATTACACATGTGCAGACCACTGATTACTTCACCTTCAAGCACCGTTCCCCAATCTTCATATCACTCTGCTTCTTTTTCACACAAACAATCCAAATCCTGTGCTCTGGGATCCCACCTCTTCACTTGCCTGTTTTGAGAATAAACTCTCTTTTGCAAAACTCATTTTAGTGATTCACATACTGTGCAACAAGCAAAACAGGCCTGGTTCAGTAACACTGCTATAACAAAATACTGTAGAGTGAGTAACTTATAAAAAACAGAAATGAATATCTCACAGTTCTGGAGATTGTTATTGTAAAGTCCAAGATCAAAGTCCAGGCATAATCTATACTCTGGTGAGGGCCACTTCTTGGTTCATACATGCTGCTTTCTCAGTGTGGCCTCATAAGGTGGGAGGGAGAGGACTTTCTCTGGGGTCCATCTTATACAGACATGAATCTCATCACATTCAGTCCATCGGACTCCTCTCCCCCATCGCCTTCATCCATTATGCAGAGAAAGGATGACATTTGGCACAGGACTGAACTGGAAGTGACAGACTTGAGAAGAGGCTGAATTCTTGGCGACAGGTTTACTACACTAGAGCCAAGTTCCTGTCAGGGAAGGAGTGGGGCCCTGAAATTTGAGACAGAGTATCTGTATAGAGTCTCCAGAATCTTCCTGCCCTTTCCCTCTAGTTAGAAAATAGAACCACTTTATTTTATTTGAGGACTATTCTAAAGCCTCCAATGACGTAAATGAAATAGAAGACAGTACATGCCCTCTGTGAGATCTAGCCCCCCTCCCATCTTGGACACCAGACCAACAATTGGGGTCAAATACCAGCATGTTCTGACTGCTGGCACAGGCCAGCTACAGGAGGAAAGACAGTCTATGCTTCGGTCATACACTCCAGGGCCTGGGTAACATGTACCAGTGGAGACACGGGGATTGTCCTGGAAGTGGATCTTAGAGGGCAGAATCAAAGGGACAGAAGAGAAAGTGAGGTAAGAGAGAGATATCAATGGTCGGAGGCTCTTTGGTGACACAACAGATAGCAAGCACCCTGGCAAGAGGCCCAGAGGACAGTTTTGACACTATTCTGGGATGGCTCATGGAAGCTTAGCAAGGGTGACAGCTCCATTAATTAAAGCTGAATGTCAGAAAAGCCATGGCAGGGATCAGAAGCAGAGGAAAGAGTCCAAAGGCTCAGAGGGGTAGAGCTGCAGTTATCTTGGTGAAGTGACATGGAACATCCATTTCTTCATAGAAGGGACCAGAATTGCTCTTAGGCAGAGACCATTTTTAAGTGGAAGGTGAGCCATGGTGTGGGGAGAGGGCATGGTTTAGTAGGAGGCAATCAGACAGGTGACATGACAAGTCTTTCCAGTGGGACAATCAACTGGACGCACAAGAGAGCTGGGGGGTTGGGAGAAGGGAGGGAGAAAGGGAGATAGGAGGACCAAACATGTGGCCTGGGGAACAAGCCTGACTTCCAAGGTGGCTATGGCCTGTTGAGGGTTCACTGATGATGGATGTTAAACTCTCATCAAAGTTGCCATGTTAGTCCTTTTGTCTTTTCAATCTAGCCATTAACATGTTCTATCACATAGATGCTTGGACATTATTTGCCAGAAATTGAAATCTGCATCCTAGGTTTGAACAGACCCAGTCCTGAGCAACATAGCTCATCGAGGCAGCCTCTGAGTAGAGCTAATCTAATGGCAGCAAGATCTGGGCACTGGAGCTGCTGAGAACATAGGTGTTCCTGGACTATAATTGGGGGTAGGAAGCGTGGGGCACAATGTCTATGATCTATGGTAAAGGTATGGCCAGATCCCAAGAGTAATCTTGATTCTGCTTGTCTTGGGCTTCTAGGAGTAGTTTCTAGAGAAATCAATGTTTCCTTGATTCTTATTCTGGAAAACAAGTTTAGCTAAGCAGAGGACAATTTAGTAGGATGGTGAAGATCTAAGTCAGTTTGCAGGAAATGGAGAAGTTAATACGAAGAGAATCAAGACAGTATATTGAACTGTTAGTTTAACTTTGAGTTGAAGCAGGAAAATGAAGGGAACCAAATATAAATGACAAATTGATCATGTTTGGACAAATGGCTTGATTCTTCCCTGAGCATTTGTCTTATGTAAAAGAAAAATTGGGAGATGATTTCTGAGTTCACCCTAAAATTCTATAATTCTAGTAACAATTTTGCTCTTTAATTTAGCATGAAGATACATTTATATTAAACCCACGATCATGGACGGACAGATTTTTGTCCACAAATTCATATGTTGAAGCCCTAAACTCTCAATAAATGGTATTTGGAGGTAGGGCCTTTGGGAGATAATTAGGCTTAGATTAGGTCATGAGGGTGAGGTCCTTACAATGAGATTAATGCTTTTATAAGAAAAGAAAAAGAGACCAGGGTTCTTTTTCTATCATGTGAAGACAGAGCAAGAAGGCAGTCATTCACAAACTAGGGAAAGAGCCTTCAGCAGAAACAACCCTGTTGGACCTTGATCTTGGACTTTCTAGTTTCCAGAACTAGGAGATAATCCATGTCTGGTTTTTCAGCCACCCCGTCTGTGGTATTTTGTTCTGGCAGTCTGAGCTAAGACATCTACCTACTTATTTTCACTTCAACTGCCAAGGCAGAACTCCCATGTATTTGTCCACAGCATAATAGTTTAAAAAGTAGATATTGATTCCTTAGTAATGTAAGAAGACTTGGTGGTTAATAACCACTCTTTAGATGCAGTGTAGTGTACTAAGGAGAATCTGGAACATATATCAGAAGAGGTGTGATTCAGCTCTGGATAGCCCTTCCTAACTACATAACTCTGGCAGAATCAAGATCTCTATAACCTCAGTCTGCACATCTCTTTAATGGGAGCTATACCAGTGTAAATATTGGATTTGCACTGTAAATGACAAGTACTAGGTAAATGGTTCTGTTTATTATGATATAAAATGATATTCTGTTTATTATATTCTGTTTATTATAATATCATATGATATTATGATATAAAAACAGAAGCTTAAAAAATACTACAAGTTATTTTATAAATGGAAAAATAAGATATAAAGACGAATTAATTTTATTCTTGAGATTAAATAACAAAAGAAAATACCGAAAACCCACTCTATTGTTTTTGTCGCTTATTTTATTTGTTTTGGTGTGGTTCTTGTTCAGATTGTGAATTTTTACTTTCACTGAGTTTATTCAACTTTCAAAAATAGGATTAGCACATGGAAATGAATTAAAGCATAAAATATGTTGTTTCTTCGTGATTGATTGGAACATGGCAACTGAAAAAAACAGAGGTGAATGGGTCAGGGAAGAGATAAGGAAAGGGAGGAAATGAAGAACCTAACAGGAACAATGCTGGTCTCGATTTCTTGCAGTTCTTTCAACATGTATTGTTTTAACATATCAAGTTTGTGGTTGGAAAAAACAGTTATCATGATTTTCCCAAGAAGCAACAGTGAGAAGAATGTAGCATTCAATTTCAGTGAAGGGATGGAGAGTACAAAAAGACATATTCATACCCAAACAAATGGAGAAATCTCTAGCATCCTACTAGGATTCATAAATTATCATGTTCTTGATTTTTCTCCTGCCATGACAACACATTAGTGACAAATGATGTATCCTTATGTATTCCTGCCTTTCCTGCATTCTTTTGACACATTTTTCTGAAATTCACCCCCACCTCAACTCTTCCTTACTTAACTGCCAGCTATAGTGGACTCAGTAGTTTCAATTTAGTGTGTTATATTTAGATTTGCCACAAAACTAAATTAAAGAAATATCTCTTAATAGTCCTTTTTGCTAATTTAGCTTTTTAAATTATGGTACTAAAGACTTTCAATTTTCCCTCATCCATTTGGATATAAGAGAAAGTATTCTAGTTATTATGTCTTACTGCTTATTTTTAGTAATGGTACTATTAATAAGCAACAAATATAGTGGCTTCCCATACCTGAAATTCAGATGTTTTAAGCAGAT